TTATCTAATTTAGCATTTTTTGAATTATTTAATATAATTCACTAATATTCTTTCTTATTGATTTATTTTAATCCAAATTCATAGTCCCACTTATCCAGGAGAGCTTGATAGTAAAAAAAAAGAATACACACTAAATTATCCAGTAAGTAATAAGAAGATTACTATTTTGAAAATTAACAAAAGTAAAATACATAATTTTTACATTTAATAGGGTATTTCGTTTGTTTTCCCTATACCTGAGGAACATATATCCTTCTATACTTCCTCTTCCGGTATGACAGATCTTCCAATGGAACTTCCTGATGGAACTTCTCCTTTATTATCTCGTTTATATACTTTTCACGGATCCAGTTTTCTAAATGCAATTGCGCCGCCATTACACAGGAATAAAAATTCAGATGGTATTGGGAGCGGTTTATTAGAATTTGAAGTTGAGAGCGTCGTGGCAGAAGTATGAAAAAGTTAATATATTTTTTTGCACGATTTTAAATATGTTAAATGAAAGTGGTTATAAAATAATTGAATCAATGTTTATTATTATAGTTAAAACGTAGAATTATAGTCAATTTTTTAAATAATTCAAATAATGCCACCACAGAAATTGTTCTCAATGTTACTACACCGCAGGATCTTTTAGTTGATATAGGATCACCGCTTAGAACATTTTTCAAAGAAGAAGATAAGATGCGGATACACTCAGAAGATAGCAGTACCAATTATTCGGTTGAAAGTGGTGATAACGGAGATTCAAATTCCTCACCAAATGTCGAAGACCGCTCTCGAGGAGGAGGTATTTTCCTTTGGTCCTAAGTCATAACATACCGGAAAATTTATTTTATTAAATAATAAAATTTCTTTTCTATCGAAGACGCTATTGATTATTTCTACAACTATTTTCATCTTGGTTTTGATGTGCTCTTCGATGGCTCTACACATCGTTGTAAAAAAATCGTATTGCATGGAAATGTACCTGGTCATTTTGATTTCCAAAGGTATGATATAAATATTTTGATGATCTTTATTAGCTGGTGAATTTAAATTTGGATTACTTATGCGTAATACGAATATAGGTATAAACGATGTCCTTATAAGATATTATTACCTAAAGTTTCATCTAATTCACAGATTTCTAATGAAGGTTTTTTTTTTTTTTGAAAACTAATTTATTTCCTGCAGTCCAATTTTTTTTTTTTTTTTTGGAATATTAACGTTTTTATATTATAATCCATATCAGTTGCTAAACTAGAAGTTCTTGAAGATGATGATAATCAATCGACATCACAATCTCCACAAATTGTGGATGATTTTATTACTTCAGAAATGAAGGTAGAGTAAATAGAAAAAGAGGGTATTGAAATGTGATATAGCTATTAATTTTTTTAATTTACAGATGGATCAAATTCGAGACCTATTAGGTCATCCTTCTGGCCATCCTCTAATTTTTAACCGAGGAGCTGGTGGACAAAATCCGTTTGGTCCTACCAAATTAAGTGGATACGATGGGGTTGTATTTGAAGTATGCATTTAATTCAAGTTTTTTTTAAAAATAATTTTTTATTTAACAATTCAAAGTGATTAATTTTATGTTTTGTGGTTAATTAGGAAATGAAAAACGGTTGTGTTGCTACAATTACATTATTTTGATTTATACAATAATACTCTTGAAAACTTTTATTAACAGTAGTGCGATTTTAATTAATAATGTCAAGATAATTAAAAATCTTTTTTAATAAATCATATAAATTTGCATATTAAAAAAAAATTTCGAATGATTATCTTATAATTCAAAATGTTGTTTATCATACGGATATAGCACCATATCATCTCGATGATTTTGTCATACTAACATAATTTGGTCGTACAACGATCAAAAAAAAAAAATTTTTTTTTATCTATAAATTTTTTTACATTAATTTTTCTTTTTCTTCGAAAAAAAAAAAAGAAAGAAAAAAAAAACGCGTGACCATTTCTCAAAAGTGCACATTATGACCGGCTCGGGTGAAAAAGTTTCAACAACAACGACACCTACGATCACACCGTGGAGTTTTAGTTCTATTCTTAATGGAATATCAGAGTATAGAAAGAAACTTAACTTGCCCAACCCGGGCACTTTTGAAGGTCTCCATAAAGAGGTTAAAGGTACGAATAAAAGCTCCAATTTTAAAGCAATGAAAAAAAAAAAAAGTATTAAATAAATAATTGGTTGTCACGAATATTTAAGATCGCGTTCTGGAATTAGGGAATACGCGTGTTCATTGGTTACATGTTTTCGAAGAAAAAAAATTTTTTTAATTTTATTTTATTTTTTTTTTTTTATTTGCAGCCACGTTTCTGACGAATCACTTGTTTGATGGAGGTAGAGCTGACGTTACAAAGGTTCTATCGCAACATCTTCAAGTGACCCATTCGTTCTCAATGGGTTCAACAATAACTCCTCCAATGTATAATTTTGGGGCTGCTTTCATTGGTATTAAAGTGAGAATTAAAAATTTTGATTTTGCATATTTAATATATTTTTATATATATATATAAATCCATTCTTATTGTGATTATAATATTATCAGTCTTTTCTTCATGGTTCTATTGATACAGAAGGAAACTTGACAGCACGCATGAATTATGCATGGGATGCAAATAATATAACAAAACTTCAGGCTCATGTGAGGAAATTATTTTTTAAAAGATACTAATAGTTATTAGGTTTTTTTTTTTTTAAAAAAAAAATCGTTATATTTAAATTGCTTATAATGTTTCTTTATAATGGTCATATTGCTTATCAAGATATCACCATCACCAGGGCATTCAATGCTTCAATTAGAACAAGATTATCAGGGATCAGATTATTCTATAAATTGTAAAACTATTAATCCTTCGCCGGTTGAAAATACTGGGATTTTTATTCTCAGTTACTTTCAATCTGTAACACAAAAACTAGCATTGGGAGTTGAAAATGTATATCAGAAGCCAACTCCTGACATTGAAGAAACCACCAGATCTTTGGTAGCAAAGTATACCGGGAAAGATTGTATTGCAACTTTGCATTGGCAAGAAATGGGTGCTTTTCAGGCATCATACTATCAAAAGATCAACGAAAAAGTAGACTTTGGAACAGAATTACAAATACTTACCGCATCAGGCCGGAGAGAAGCGGTTTGCACAGTAGTATGTAGCTGATCTGGTGTTAGTCTCACTTTGTCAAGAAGCCAACCAAGCCGATGCTAATTGTTCGAATTATTTTCAAGGGTGGTAAATTCGATTTTCGAGCCGCTACTTTCAGAGGCCAGGTAAGTAAATTATTGTATTTCAAATTTTTAAGTTCTATAGATAAAAACTTATTCCATAATACATCGTATTAGATTGATACAACGGGACGCGTTTCAGCCGTTATAGAGCAAAAAATCGCCCCGGGATTCAGCTTTATTATCACCGGCGATATCGAACACATGAAGGTAAGTTTTTTTTTTTCAATAAAAAGATTTAATATATTATTAATTTCAACAATGATTAACGAATGTTTGTATTATTTGGATTGAATCACGGTCTCTGTTAGAGCACATCAAGATTTGGTGTAGGAATTCAATTGGAGGCATAGAATTTTTTAATATGTAAGATAGATTAATCAAATTCAAAAAAAAAAAAAAAAACAAAAAAAAAAAAATTTTTAATTAATCAATCTGAAAAAATTCATTCATTATTATTTAATCTGACATTTCACATGAATTTTTATTCTTTCCGTTGGTATCGTGTGTGAGGATTTTCTTCCAAGAACAATCTGAATTGATGTTTGAAAATTCACCTAAATATGATTACTTAATTATTACAACTTTGATAATTGATTTTACTATAAATAAAAATTCAAAAACCACTAAAGCTAGCAGCAAATCATAATTTACCCGCATGTAAAGAGTATTTATATAAATTTTTATTTTTATTTTTTTTAAAAAAAAAGGTGTTCGAAAATGAATGAACACAGTTAATTAATGCATTATATGCATATGCATCAATCAGATTATAATTTATTAAAAAAAAATAGATATGGATATTAAATGATCACAAACAAACACCCCACCTCCTTATTTGACCATAGATTTTTCTGTAACGATTTATTTTATTTAATTTTTAACTGTTCTTTTTTATTATTAATATCAAGTCACTCATTTGGTTTTATTTTTTTTTTTTTCCTTTGGCTTTTCAAACTTTATTGCAACTCTAGTTGCTTTTCTTATTCTAACTATAGTCGGGCACTATCCTACTTTGCCTTTCTATAAACTTAACAAGAGGAATTCTCCATCACTCGCTCTTATATTATTTCTTTTATAATTTCGAAAGATATTTTTCCTATAATTTATTTCACAGAATAAAAAATTTATAAAGTTCGTGTGAATGCTTGCCGAAACTTCCAACCCCAGAGACTCTTATTATTCTTCATTATATGACGAGTATTCGTCACGTGGTGAAGAAAGAGCATATATTGTCGGTTCAACGTGGAATCACGCGGCAAAAACCGTGAAAAGACGGCCTTCCCTTAACTTGCATCCTCGTACTAATAGTATAAGCAGCCTAAAACGGCAACCTTCTTTTGATTGTCCTTCACCCCCTTCTCATTTGGTATCTTCAAATTCGAACCCTATTAATTCGTTATTTAATTATACGGCCTCTGGATCTTTTTCCCCTTCACCACCAAGTCCAGGATATGTTTTTACTCGTTTTAACTCATATAATAATATAGGACCTAGAGAAAGTCTTACTGGTAAACAACCCGATGAAAGAACAAGTAGTTTATCGGTCCCTATGGACACGAAAAGAAATAGCGCGGAGAATCGTGCACCCTCCCCTTCAGAAAGTAGTATCCTTGAAGATTATAATGACTATCATACAAGGCATTCTTCTGCAAGCAGTTTTGAAGATGTATTAAATAAAGATAAGGCAAATACAACCAAAAAAACTTTACGAACTTCAACTCAGTCACAAATCAACTTAAATGAACAACAGCAACAAGTTAGAACATTTTCACGACAAAATTCAACTCGATCACGATCAAGCATCAATGGACGTGTTCGACAGAAGCAAGATTGTGATGATAGGTAACATATTTCTATAAGTAATAAATTTAGAAAAAATATGATCAGAGGGATGAACAATTTGACACCATTGGGTTTGGAATTTATTTGTTGTTATATTGAAATTGTTGAAAGGCGATAATATTAAAAGAAATAACTTAACAATCTTATGCGTATAAACAATTTTGAAATTCTAATAGGGATCAATATGGTTTTAGAAGATCATATCAATGGATTACCAAAAAGGAATATACTGAATTTGAGTCATCTTATGTTCAAGTCCTACATCGACGTAAACAAAAATGGGATATTGCTATTGAAGAAAATGGCGGTGTCATACCCGGCAGAAGTTCAAAGAGTGAGTTATATATTTTTAATCTAATAAAAATTTAAAAAGACAGAGTCAATCCACGTACAAATACTATGTAAAAAAACAGCTGTAATATAATAAACGCGAATTTTCAATTTATATTAACATATTGCATATTATTATTAATTAATTAAAGTGAAACGATATGTACGGAAAGGTGTACCGCCATCTCTACGAGGAAAGGTATATATACACATGTATTGGTTTAACTATTTCTTTATCATCATCAGATATTAATAATTAAAAATATGCATATTATAGGTGTGGTTTCATTATAGTGGTGCAGAAGCGAAAATGAGGGATCATATGGATTTTTATCAACAACTATTGATTAAAGCACAAGATCCACGGTACGAAAATGAGTACGTGGAAATTATTGAAAGAGGTTTGGATTGATAAAATTTAATAATTATTGACTTATGAACGAAGAAATATTAATTGTTTTTCTTTATTATTAGATCTTCATCGTACTTTTCCTGAAAACATTAAATTTAAATCGACAGTAGATTCAAAAGATGGGAGTTCACCTGTTTTATCGACCGATAATGTTCCAATCATCCAATCACTACGTCGCGTGCTTACAGCCTTTTCATTATTTTCACCTAACATTGGTTATTGTCAATCTCTTAATTATGTGGTCGGAATTCTTTTACTCTTTATGGATGAAGAACAAGCTTTTTGGATGCTGGTAACCATCATTCATGATTACTTGCCTGAAAATATGTATGATGTAACGATGGAAGGTGCAAATGTTGATCAAGCTGTACTTATGATGTTCGTAATGGAAAAGATGCCACAAATATGGAATAAATTGAGCGGAGGATTTGGTTGGGATATAGAGAAGCTCGATAAGAATATGCCAACAATTACACTTGTAACCAGTCATTGGTTTTTAACTTTATATATCAACATTTTACCAATTGAGGCAAGAATTTTCAAATTTATTATTAAACATTATTTTATAATTTATGATAACATATTTACTCAATTAATTTTATTATTATTATTATTATTAGACATTATTAAGAGTTTGGGATTGCTTATTTTAGTAAGCATATTGTTTATTATAACCGATATATATATATATTATAGTATTATTTACTAAAAAAAATATTTTAACATTTTTAGTGAAGGCAATAAAGTGTTGTTTCGTGTAGCTTTAGCAATTTTAAAATTAAATGAGGAAAAGATTTTGGCAGTAAACGATCCGATGGAAATATTTCAGGTGGTTCAGGTAAAAAAGTTTTTTTTTAAAAATTTTTCTCTAAAAAAAAAGTAAACTTACCTTTTTAATGTTTAATCTCATAGAATATGCCAAAGAGTTTGCTTGACTGCCATAAACTTATAGACGTAAGTAAAAAAAAAAAAAATATTTATTAACTATATCATTTTACGTATATTCTAATTTATTTATTTTATTAAATAGTTATGTTTTCGTCGTCGTAAGGGATTATCACAGAAAGATATTGACAAACGTAGAGAATTTTTCCGTGAACGAAGGAAAAAGAGAGTAGGATCGATGTTATTAAAACATTAAAAATATAGGTAGATGCCTATAGTTAGAATTAAGATTTGTCTTGGTCAAAAATTGATTTAACGATCCATTAGTAAAAAATTATATTATTTATATTTTTTGATTGGTTGGTTTTATGATTTTTTTGATTATTATGAATTTTTTTTTTTTTGTCGGATTTTTATCATTTATGGCACATTGATTGTATAAACATTATAAACATTGTAGTATTAGAATTTTATATTTATCATATTTATAGATACACATTACACATAATTTTTTTAATTTATTTTGAAACTTTAATCTCTTACTGTTAGTAATTGATTAAAAAGAACGATATGTAAATTTTAATATATTGTGTTGTCCAGAATTTTTAATTGACTGCAATGACGTGACGTTACAGATGCAAGTTTTGGCAATAATCAGCTTATTTTATTTTTATTATTAATTATTTATTTTTTGTTTTTTTTTTAAAAAAAAAGTAAATTTGATATTCAAACTTAAAGATGAATTAATGAACCTGAATATTATTAGTATCCAAATCTACAAATTTATTATGAACCTGTAACGATTGTAAAATTTCTCTTGCAACATTCAATACGGAATTTGGCATTCCTAAATGAATCAAATATTAAATTAGCAATTTTGATGATCACTAATTAAAATATTCACAATCTCACATACCCGCTAATTGTGCGGCTTTGATTGCTGCTGAATTTCGATTTACGCCTTTCTTTACTTTATGAAGATAATGAAAACTTCCATCCTAAGTATTAAATATAATAAAAATTAGAAGAAACTTCATTTTTTAGTATTAAAAAAAAAAATTTAAATTTTATTTAGTTACCAAATTTTCCTGACTATCAGTACAGTAAAAAGCAGCATATTCAAAATTCTTTATCATATTTGCTAATTCGTGAAGATGTGTTGCAAACAAAGTACGACATTTATTCTTATAATGCAATTGATGTAATGTTGCAAAAGATATAGCGATTCCATCTAAAGTCGTTGTTCCTCGACCAATTTCATCCATTATTACCTTAATTTCAAAAATTGACAAATTATTATTAAACCTAAAATGATATTTAATGTATGAAACACGAATACATACAAATGACCTTTGCGTAGCATTTTTAAGAATATTTGCAGCTTCGATCATTTCAATCATGAATGTTGATTGATCCTGATACAAATTATCAGAAGCACCGACCTAATAAATCAAATTAAATCATTATCATAAAATTATGAATAACATATACTTGTATACAATACAACATACCCTACTAAATATTTGATCCACTATCCCAATTTCTGCATAATCAGCAGGAACATATGAACCGATTTGTGCCAAAATTGATATAATCGCGTTTTGCCTTAAGTATGTACTCTTTCCTCCCATATTTGGACTTTAATATAAATATTAAGGCACATTAGACGATGATAGATTCAAATAAATAGATTCAAAAAGAATTAAAACAAATACCCAGTTATTAATAAAACTCGTTCTTTATCTCCAACGTAACAATCATTTTTTGTAAATTGACGTTCTTTCATATGAAGTCCAGATTCCACAATTGGATGACGGCCTCCCGTAACTTTATGAGAATTACTATATATATTTTTTATAAATTGTAAAATGAGCATAAATAAATCAAGAAATTATAACTAACGTACCTAAGATTTAGAATAGGTCGAACGAAATTTTTTTCTCTGGCTAAAACTGCCAAGGATGAAGCAATGTCGACTTCATCGATTACATTCGTATTACGAATTGTTAAATCCCAATTATCAGAAATCTATAGTAAAGATATATTATATTATAAATTTGTATCAGAATATTTATAAATACATGAATATATTATACCTTAGTTCTAATGACTTGAAATGCATTAGATTCTGCTTCATGTATCTTAGATTTTATTTCTTCGATTTTGCCCCCAAGATGTGTCCATGCCTGAAATAAAACAACTTTCATTATCACAATGAACCGTATAGAAAAAAATTACAGAAGTATATTATATACCTGAACAATAAACCATTTCTTAGATTTAAAATGTTGGATACGAGTTGCATTTAGAGATTTTTCCAAATTACAATCATTTTTGCGTTTAACAGCCACAATGAAGCCAAAACTCGAATGTGATCGAAGTTCTAATGATGGTGATTCTATAAAAAAAAAAAAATATGATTAATAATAAATGATTTTAGAATAATTTGATTATTAAGTAATAAATTATACACGCTGGAATAAAGTAATCTTATCATTGCTAATTAATTTTACTTAGTTCAGTTCGCCATCGATTTTGCATTTCTATCATTTCCAAGTATCTAGCTTCAAGTTGATTATGTAAACTTGTTACCTCTTCTGAAAAACTAAAAAGATATAATTTATTAAAAATTCATCCCTATACATGTAAAAAAAAAAGTAATAAATATACTTTGTCTTAATAATCCAATTATCAGATTTGATGAGTGCTTGCACTTCTTCGAGATTTGTATCGGTGGAATTTATGCTATTTTTTTTCATTGTATTTCTCTTTTTCTTGATAGTTGAGGCATTCCTTTTTTCGTTGTTCAATTCCACCGTTTGATTTCCATTGTCGGAAAGTTCGACTTCTTCAATCTCTGAATCAAAATCACTAATAGCTAATCCAGTTTTAACAGATATCTCTTTGTCTCTTATTAAGGCGTCTTCGTCTATAGCGTCTTTTATTATTTTTATTAGTTCATTTTGAGGTTTTAAACGTTCAATGAGTGCCTCTAAACTAAAGTTTGGTGTAATTTTCAATTCCTCTTCTAGGCGCGTTTTGATTGTTCCCATAGCCTCAAATGTTCGTTTAAGTTTAAGAAAATCGTCAGGTCCATAATAATCAAAAGAAATCTTTTGTGACGTTCTTTGAGCATCATCAACCTCTTCCAAAATTTGCCGAATATCACTAGTGAGATGCGTATTGCAATAAAAATATTCAACAATGTCTAAACGATTGTTAATTTTAATTAATGAAGTTGTTGGGAAGCCTAATAAAAAAGATACATATTAGCTTTTCCTTTTGTAGTTATTACCTTAACTATAAGAAAATTTTATGCTTACGTAACCATTGATCAAGAGCTCTCGTGCCGGATTTTGTCTTTGTTCTTTCAATAGCATGAATCAAACTTCCTCGCTTAGAATTATTGCGAATTGACATTATTATTTCTAACGATCGCAAGGCCGTTTCATCAATAATCATTGTATTTTCTGGATTTATCCTTATTGGAGGTTGAATTTTAGGAAACCTTTCAATGAGATTTCTACTAATATAATTATGTAAAGCTGTATTGGCTTGTATTTCAACTCCAGAAAAGACTTCATCTATTACATCTCCGAAATGCAAATCGGGTTGCGATTGTTGAGTAGAAAACGATTTAATCGATTCATATGCAAAGGCATATTTTTCACGATTTAACTGAATCCATATAGGATGATCTTTCTGAAATTTAAATTGTTCACTTAAAACAATTTCGCTAGGTCGAATACGGGCCAAAACATTAGAAAGTGATTCTAGCTCACTCATTGCAACGAACAACTGGCCGGTTGTTATATCAATCCATGCTAATCCGACATTATTTGTCCTCTCATCCAATGAAAGTGCAAGCAAAAAATTATTTTGATCTTGTTGTAAAAAACTTTCATCGATAAGTGTTCCAGGAGTAATGATACGTGAAACTCGACGCTTAAACTTAACTTTCTCATCATTTTCATCGTTAAGAAACTCTTCACAAAGAGCTACCGCAAGACCATGATCATTGACCAATGTCGAAAGATATTTATCAAGATGCTGAAGGGGAAAACCTGCAAAAGGCATATATTCTTGCCCAAACTTTTTTTTTGTCAACTTGATATTTAAAAGTGGAGCGATCTTTGTGGCTTGTTCGAAATAAAGCTTGTGTAAAAAAAAAAAGAAAATTTTAATTTTAAAAAATAAAATTTACAAGTGCTAATTTCGTAACTTACCTCCCAAAAAGAACCAACACGCGTTAAAATAACGCAGTCTGGATATTTTAGTTGCGCAAGCCTTACTACTTTACCAACTGTACTATCCCATTCTGGTCCTTTATTCGAGTTATCGATATTTTGTGGTTTTTTTGAAATGTTTGGCAGTTTGTTTATGGGTAATGTAAAGGATTTTTTTGAGCGAATGATAAAAGAATAGGGTAATTTTACGCGATAAAAGTGCTGCAACGTAGCATGCGCGTATTTATTGAAACAAAATTTAGCTGTTGAACTCTTGGTATTAGCGTTGTAAGAGAAAACACAAAAACGTCTTGAAAATTGACGCGTTTTTGTTCTTAAAAATGTTGTATTAAATCTTTGAATGCAGCCTAACTTCATACCGTGTTTTAAGATAAATAAAGATGACACTTGGATTGGTTAAATTTTGCGATAATTATTTTTGAAATACAGTCAGACCTCTATATAGTCACATAATTGGTTCCGCCAAAATCGGTGATTATATAAAGATGTGACTGTAAAAAGGGTACCTTTATATAATCACAACTATATGATAATCAAATATATAGTGACTATTTAGAGGTTAAATTA